AAAACAGTTCAAGTATTTTGTGGAGCTTAATGTGTGAAAACTATTTCTCAGATTGTAAATCCAACCACACCACCTTGTAGGCCAGTCAATTCTACAGCTCCATTGTAAGTTTCATCGCAATCGGAGACCAAGAGTGAAGGCGGCAGAATATATTTTAAAGTTAGCTGCAAAAATCTGCCGCAGCGATTTCTCATACTTGCGCCCGCTCGACCAATCAACCAAACTGATGGGATTTACAATTATTATAGCTGTCTTTACTCTTGGTCTCCGATTGCGATGAAACTTACAATGGAGCTGTAGAATTGGCTGGCCTACAAGGTGGTGTGGTTGGATTTACAATCTGAGAAATAGTTTTCACACATTAAGCTCCACAAAATACTTGAACTGTTTTGGCGGTTTTGCAGCGCTTCGGGCCTTTTCGTTTCAATTAGAAGTTTGACCTCCTTTTGCAAATCCAACACAGCAGGGCGATAGAGAATTGAATTCTGGGTTGCTTGGTGAGGTTGACAATGCTGAGAAACCTATTTCAAACTGTCCTTTTAACCTCCAAAGTTGCAAAATACAATTTTGGACCAAAAATGGAAATTAGTTTTTGGATCGGCATTTCTGCTACAGAAGTCGTATTGGCGTTCCAAGTGTACCAAGCAACCCGGAAAATAGTGGCCAACAATCGGCTCGCTGTATGTATGGACCTAAAACGAACGGAAATAGCTTTTTTAGTGAAAGGGAAACTTTAAGTCGGCTGTCTGGTGCCGTAAATTTGGTTTTCAAATTGATTTTAGAACTGTTTTACATATCCAAAAGTCCATTCCATTGTCACTCACGGATAGGAAATTTTGCGTAGAATCTAAAAATGACCTCGTTTACTCAGTTCGATGCAGTTTTGACAAAGTTCTGTTTAATTTGGTTCGGCCGCGCGGCCCAGCCGCCCGGCCGCTCCATGCCGGCCCGAGCGGCGCGCATAGCTTCACGCGCGCACTAGGCTGTTGCCACCCCCTGGTGGTATGTCCCAAAGTCACTAGAGCCCCTGCACGCTCAACCTCGTGACCGTGTCCGCAGCCACCCGCAAAAAGACCTCCACTTCCAGCTTCGCCTTGCCCTCCAGCATCACCGCCTGCTTGTCCTTCCCTCCAAACCAGACCGGGGCAAGGTGTTTGAGGCTGCCAGGAGCCATGAAGCATCGAACTACTTCATGCGCGGGGGCCAGTACACCAGATTCTGCGACTAAAGCTTCCTGCACAGGGCGAGGCTTAGAGTGCTTTTATTTAATTGTTGATAATTGATATGCTGTTAATTGAGCCAAACAAACATGTTTTTCCGAAAAATAAAAATATAAAAAAACCTATGTCCTCTGCCACTGTATGAAACACAGCGCAGCCTCAAACAGCAGACACCGATCAGTCCTCCAACACGTTATCGAGGCCATGCCTTCCACCAACAACCTCCGGGTCGAGCGGACCGTCCCGGGCTCGGGGAGCCTGGACAAGCCCGACCTGGTACTCCTGGACGAGGCCGCGAAGACTGCAGTGATCGTCGACGTGGCCTGTCTCTTCGACAACAAATACCAGACGTACCAGGCCAAGAGGGCCGAGAAGAACGGCAAGTACGCGCACCTCGCCCTCCACCTCCAGCAGCGCGGCTTCACCGACGCCCTCCTGGTCGACGCGCTGGGCACCTGGGACCCCGACAACGAGGGTAAGCTGAACATGCTGGGCGTCCCATCCGCCGCCCGGGCCAAGCTGCGCAGACTGGCCGTGTCCGACGTCCTGCGCTGGTCCCGGGGCATCTACGTGGACCACGTGAGCGGCGGGAGGCAGTAGAAGACCACGGTCACCCTGCCTGCCCAGCTCGGCCGACTCCCTGGACGACGGCGAGCTGAGCTTTCGGTATTCAAACGGTGAGTCCACCCACGCCCGTGATCCTGTACTTCGCCGGGCTCAACAATCTGGCTGTGCGCGCGTGTGACCTGCCCTTCGGAATGCCCCATGACCTTGATACCAAGCACCTGAGCCAGTACGGCGAGCCGGTCGGGCAAATTAGCGTTTCAAAGAGCTACCGCAGCGCCACGCGCGGCCGCCGCGCGAACTAAGGAATCCGTGATCCCTGAGGCCGCAGCCGCAGGGCGTTCGCTTAGCGTGGGCTGGGCTGACTTTGCTCCCCTTCTACGTGGTTGTCACATTGTTTTCGGGTTGCAAGAGACGATTAGCGATGGAAAGCGGCGTCAAGTCGAAGAAATCGCGCAAAGATAGACATAATTGTTGCGTACCACAATGCAGTAACGTGAAAATCGAGACAAACCACCTGCACCAAGTGCTGAAGGATGAAGTGGAACGCCTAAAATGGGCAATTGCAATAAAAACCGGAAAGAAACTCGGCCATAAAATGACAGTGTGTAGTAAACATTTCAAGCAGGACTTCTGGGTTCGAGACGGCAAGAAAACGACCATCTGTAACGGGACTAGGATAATCCGGATGAACCTGACGGCTCATATTCCCTCGAACCTGTCTGTGGCGGGGCTAACGGCGGTAGTCTTTTACCCGGGGCAGCCGCAAACTTGTGCTAGGTGTGGCTCCAGTGAGCACCTCGTGAAGCAGTGCACGGAGACCCCCAAACGGGGCCCGAGAACGGCTCGCAAATTCATCGCGGACGCGGTGATGAGTCAGACAGCGTCGCCTGCTGCAAGTGTTGTTGACGGTGAAGGCGCTGGAGGCAGCCAGCCCAATTTACCGAGGCCCCGACGGGGCGACGCCCCCTCCCCAGCGGTGACCTCGCCCCGAGCCTCGCCCCTAGTGCGGCAATGTTTTAGTGACCTAGGCTCTGCAATCCGTACTCGTATGAGCGCCACACACTCAACACATCTTATGACCGTTTTTATACGTATTGCGATGGTTTTTCATCGGAAGGTACGCATAAATTTGCACATACGTAGTATGCTTAACTGTTTCTTCATAACAAACTAAATTAGCTTGTTAGCTGAGCGAAAGCGAAGCTCGTTACTCCAGTAGGATTGAAAAACTTTTTCTGTCTGCGTGTGTGCGTGTGCACTCACTCGTGTAAATGTTATCACAATGTCAGAAACCTGTCTGAAAACCTGATCAAAATTCGCGCACCTCTGAAAGCTGAAAACATCTCCTGACATTCTGTAGAACTCACACCATCAATATCAGAGTAAGTTTTCAGAATTTCAGCTTTCAGAGGTGCGCGAATTTTGATCAGGATTTCAGACATGTTTCTGACATTCTGACAAAATTCACACGAGTGCTTCTCCTGAACGGCTCGGCCGATCTGGCTGAGATTTTGCAGGGTCATTAGGTATGTCCTTGGCTCGCCACACACCAAAATTTAGCTTTCTATCTCAATCCGTTTGGTCATTTCAGCCGAAACACTTAAAAACGGCAGAAAAAGACAACTTGTTCGGTATTTTAAACTTTTTGTCGAGTTTCATGTTGTTTCCTATGTTTTTGAGGCTGCTGATAGCGAAAATAGAACCCATTCAGACCCCCGACCCAAAGTTAAGTTCTATTGGTCTACCGTCACCCTAGCGGAATTTTCGGGACGTATTCCGGACGTCCCGAGAGCGTCAGGTTTTTCTCATTATGGATGGTCTCAGAGCGCGCCGGCTTCGTCCATGGATCGTCCCGCATGTGTCCTTACGTATCCGGAGACTCAATCGAGGTGTCCCTCCCGCATCCAGAAGGTATCGTCAGTGTCCGTCCGTCGTCCAGACATCATCCAAAGCGTATCACTGGTCATTTGACAAAGTGGCGTAAGTCCACCAGAAGTCAGATTCTTTCTTTGTAAACATTTTTCGGTGCAGCTACTAATCAGGAACGCCTTCAGAATCATTGCAGATTTTGTTCTATATGTACATCTGGCCACTGTGCTTGGTACAGGTACGGTCCCCATGATAAGTAATCAAATTTACCTCATAACAAATGCCTGTGAGACATTCCATGCCGGTTCGGCCAGGGCCTGAAGGTGACCATTGACGATTTCCGCGCCGCTTTGGCATTTTTTTGTACTCGTCGAGATAGGACGATTGCCAAATTTTTAGGTCCCTAAGTCCATTTTTGCGCCCAGGGTGGCGTTTTTTAGATTTCTCTGAACTTATTTTAGTAGTTTTGTTGAAATTGGGCACTTATTTCCCTTTCTTGGCTCTCCACGGCACAATTTCAACGCTAGCGCAATGATTTTGTGCTTAAAAGATGCGTATTGAATAGAGGAAGAGATTCCCGTGGTCAAATTTTACTTTCAAACCCATCTTCGTGGTGACCCAAGCGATTTTGTAAATTAAAAACATGTAAAAATTAGGTAATTTTGCCTAATTTCGGGGAGGGATCTTTCAATGACCGACATCGAAATTTGAACTTTTTCTGACGGATTCTTGAAGGTCTTGGGGAGATCTTTCGAGTTCCGGTGCCAGAAAATATGGGACCGGCCCTAGTTTAGCCGCTACAGCCCTCCAAAGTTTCGAAAAATCCCAAATTTGCACCAAATGGTGCAAAGAGTGAACTTCGGCTTGCAGGCCCAGGGCAATGGCCATGCGGGTCCCAGGCCACACCGGCCCAACTATAACTGACCTCTGCAATAACTTCTACTTGACCCCAAGCCCCAGGGTCACACACCGGCCCGGGGAAAGGGGAGGGAAGGAAGAAAAAAACGTGAATTTTCAAAAAATTACGCCTTTAGCTATGTCCTCCTAGCCCCGCTCCAGTGGTTATTATGGACCTCGGATCCCTTATGTTTGACAATACTTGACCTCCCCTCTTCATCCCCCTCCCTCAATCCTTCCCACTCGGAAGAAGAGGGTGCTCCATTGTCATTCGCGCTCATTTGTCCGGGGAGCGCCTGCGATCGTAGGGTAGGCAGCCCCCACAGCACGCGTGCCGTTCGGTGGCCTACGTGCAGGCGCTTCGACCTGGACGCACGGCCCGTGTACGCCCTCTTCGGCCGTCTCTGCTGGAGGCGTCATCTCAAAAGATAACCAGTAAAAGGGGGTTGGAGTTTTCAAAGAATAGACAAGTTCACCAAAAATGTTGCACATTGTATTTATTTCCTTATTGATTGTCAACTGTGCTCTTAATAACTTTTTTTCTGAGTTGTGCTAAGTTTCTGATCCTTGCGATTTCATCCTTGCTTATGGAGTATTCTGATGACGGTTCCTCTGACACTGGAACTGTGGCCAGAATGTGTGGGATTGGTGCCACATAGCCACTTGACTCCTCATTCCATGTAAATCTTGTTGCTGGGAGAGGTGGGTACAGCAACATTAAGTCAGCCTCTTGCTCTTGGGTGTCAATATCGGTTAGGAGGGCCACATAGACTTTTTTTGCCACTATAACGGCCACATAATTATTTATTTCAAGGGTGAGAGGCTCACTGGCTTCGCAGATCTCGTGCACAAGGGTAAATCGAGTGTCAGAGCTAACCCTTTTGCATCCAACTGTAGTTTCTAAATGAAGAAAAAAGGTACAAATTTTTAAGAATGGTTTTCAGATATTAAAAAGAAAATGACTATTATTTTAGACATACCAGATAGGGGAAAAAAGTGATGGAATGACCTAGTGCCAGGAATTGGTAGAGCAATTATATCCCTGTCACTTATTCTTCTGAGATCAACCTCTGCCTTGGAAATAAAAAAAAATGAGACAGTACTGCTTAAGGCGGAGCTCTTGCAAAACTCAAAAAGCCTCTGCGCATCTGTAATTTGATTATCAATAGGGCGTTGGAGACTGGCTCTTACAGCACTCCGTTTGACATGGGCCCCAATTGCATCACAGGTTGACTTCCCATGGCTCGTGGCAAAAAAACACCAAGTCATTTTTATCCCATATTTGGAGAAATGCCTGTTAATGGAAGAAAATACATGTCAGGTTTAGCATGTATCAGAGAGAAAAGTACTTTCTTCAGCAATAATTTAAGATAAAACAAGAATAGTACTTACTTGCACATGTAGATAAAGCTCCGAAAGTTTTTGTACTGAGGACCACAGCCATCAGTCAAGTACGTTACTTTCTTAATGAAAGGGAGTTTCTCAGTAATGAATTTAATTGTAGCGTCTTGAATGGCTTGCACCAAGGAGGAGTCATGATCCAAATCATCAGAAATAAAGCAGAGACTAACATGCTTTGAAACCCCATCTTCCTTGTAATAGATGACAGTTGGATGGACTGTGGATTGCTTTTTGGACCAGTGGTAATTTTGAATGGCATCTTGGAGCAAGCATGAATAATTCATATTGAAATCCATGATAATAATAGCTTCATCAGAGTTCATACTTTCTTTCTTCTCCTTCAAAAATTTTCCCTGTTCTCTTGATATGTAATCATGTGGTATAGCTTTACGCAAATCACTGACTACTGAATGAAGAAGATCTTTAACAGTACTTTGATGGGTAACAATTTCAGCCCTGTCAACTGTTGTCCACTGATTGTACTGTACTGTCTCTTGTAAGATGTCTTGGAGAGCATCTGCATCGTCAAGTTCTTCAGTCTCATCCAGTTCTTCCGTCTCTTCTTCAGAAGTATCAGTCCATCCTTTTAGAATGTACTTCTCAAGAATAGAAAGAATGTCTTTTTCCTTGGGGCACTTTGGACAAATTCTGAGCATGCACTCTCTAGTAGAGGGTTCACAAACTAAAGTTGGAATAACTTCTTTCAATTTTTCCTTGATCTTGAGTGCATGGAACTTCAGCTTGAGATTTTGATGAGTGGTGCACAAGCACACACTGTGGGTTCCCGCTGACCCTGCCATCACACAGAATTTTGGTCGAAGGGCAGCAAAAAGAGAGAAGCCAAGTTTTATGGAAGGGTTTTGTTGCTTGAAGATAGCGTACAATTCTTTTAAGTTACCAAGTAAAAGTCTTTTCTGCTCATGCACACCCTGTCCCATGCTCACGCTGTCTCTCTTCCCAGGCATCACTCTACTGACATCATCACTACAATAAAATTCAATCACTAACTTTTTGGTGCTCTCAAGAATTGGGCGACCAAGATAAGGTGGTGGTTTTGCAAAAATGCCTTCAGTTGCACGTAGAGTCTTGGCCTTCTTAGCTGCATACCGAGACACTTTAAAAAATTCACTAACTTTCCGCACTGACCATGATGTTGGAGCAATTGTCAGCAGTTGAATTTTATCTTCGTATGGCAAGGATGGAATCTTGTCTCGAAGTGCAATTAAAATTTCATAAAAATCAGCTGATTCTGGATTTTCACCTAAGTCTAAGGAATTCTCTGGTAAATTCAAGGCAGTGCACAATTTCTTCCTTACAATACTGTCTATATCTTCAAGTTTCCTCTTGGCATAATTAATTTTTCTTCCCTTTTCATAATATTTCAAGTCAATGGGTGCTCCTGATATAGTCTCAATGAAAGTTTTAGCCTTTGCCTGTCTTATGGTTGGTGAATCCACAGATGCTGAGGAGTGTTGAGAGTTGGTGGGAGTGTTATCATCATCATCATCTTTAACTGCATTGGTTTGAATCCTCTTGCGACATGCCCCACACAGGTATTCATCCTCTGACAAAACTATTTTTTCTTCAAGTGTCATTGCTTGCTTTCGCAGTTCCAGTGATGGAAGTCGAAGGTCAGAGAAAATGGGTGCATAATGTTTGTCAAAGGGATCACAGCAAATGTTCTTGGTAGAACACAAGTTTCTGGTATCAGAAAACTCTGAAAAGAGAAGAAAATTTTATAATAAGGGTGGAAATACTCCCTCATGGGAGTGCATTCTAAAAAGTAACGAAGTCCAGTTAAGCAATAGTTGGGAAAATGTTACCTGCTTTAGCTGATGTAGAGGGCTGTGTTAAGTTAATCCCTTCATTTCCGATATCAGTTCCGGTTTCAGATGATGAGGCCTGAATCTGATTGACATTGGAAAGTTCATCAAAGTTGATGGCACTGGGAGCCTGACCAGCACTAGAACCTAAATAAATATAAATTGGAAAAAAAAATTAATCTTTTTCTTTGTATTTACATTTTCCAATAAATGAAGATTGTACTGCAAAACTTCAACAAGGTAATTACCTGAGCAGGTAGATGTAGATGGCTGAACTAGATTGCCAGAAAGTCTGTTATCATCTATAGCTACAGATGTCGAGGCCTGATTCCGATTGTGTTTGGTGGGTTCAACAAAACTGAAGTCACAAGAAACCTGGTCCGCAGTGGGATCTGAATAAATAAAAGTTTAAATAGGACTTTGAAACAAAATGATAAAACCCATTGAAGATTTCACATTCCATAAGCAATTGACATAGTACTTCAAAATTTCAACAATAAATTACCTGCGATGGTAGATGTGGAAGGCTGATCTGGACTGCCATAATTTCCGATACCACCTGTGGCTGAAGTTGTTGAGGCGGCTTGAGTGGGATGAGTGGTTTGTTCAGGGAAATTCCAGTCAGCATTAGAATCTAAAGAAATAAATTTTAAAATATAACAGTAATCTCTATCTTATTCATGAACTACAAAAAGAAAAAAAAGGAAAACAAAAAGCAATACCTGACAAGGAACTGCTGCGCAGACCTGAAGTGCAGGCTTGACTAACATTAGGACTGGTAAATTCAACCAAATCAGTAGATGTGCTGCTTGAATCTGAATGGAACAAATGAAGAACAGATTATTAAATTATTAAATTGTTAAAATACAAACATCAAAAATCACTTGACTATTCAGACCTTCAGTGCAGCCAAGAACCCTTTGACGGCATTTCTTGCACAGATACTTTCCAACATAAGGCTCCAACTTGGTACCAGCATATTGAGCCCCAACCTTAAAGACACCGGCCCAAACATTTTTTTTGTGCTGGCCAACACAAAAATTTATGGGAGCTGGAGCTTGAGCTGGTTTTTTCTTGGCTAAAACAAGAAACATAACCTAGCTTCGACATCAACAATCTTGGTAAACACTAACTAGCGACGTGATGACCACCCACCTCGTTCCATCTTTCATTGAAGAAAGGAACATAAAAGAGCTGCTCTGTGCCTTCGGAAACCTCGCAAATGATTTAAGAAAGCTTCACGATAGAAAATATCATGACCCAGAGGGAATGCCATTCACCAGCGATCACAACAAAAATAACAGCCCTCGAGACCAGTCGTGTTACCAATTAGTTGGCAAAAATATCCCCCATCGTAGCAGTGATCCAGGACTACCAACTTGAAACAAAGCGGCTCCAGCCAGAGCCACTGCCTTACGATCATGTGTGGTCTAGCCCTTAATGGTACTCGTATGCAGCGTAGGCCACCGAACGGCACGCGTGCTGTGGGGGCTGCCTACCCTACCTGATCGCAGGCGCTCCCCGGACAAATGAGCGCGAATGACAATGGAGCACCCTCTTCTTCCGAGTGGGAAGGATTGAGGGAGGGGGATGAAGAGGGGAGGTCAAGTATTGTCAAACATAAGGGATCCGAGGTCCATAATAACCACTGGAGCGGGGCTAGGAGGACATAGCTAAAGGCGTAATTTTTTGAAAATTCACGTTTTTTTCTTCCTTCCCTCCCCTTTCCCCGGGCCGGTGTGTGACCCTGGGGCTTGGGGTCAAGTAGAAGTTATTGCAGAGGTCAGTTATAGTTGGGCCGGTGTGGCCTGGGACCCGCATGGCCATTGCCCTGGGCCTGCAAGCCGAAGTTCACTCTTTGCACCATTTGGTGCAAATTTGGGATTTTTCGAAACTTTGGAGGGCTGTAGCGGCTAAACTAGGGCCGGTCCCATATTTTCTGGCACCGGAACTCGAAAGATCTCCCCAAGACCTTCAAGAATCCGTCAGAAAAAGTTCAAATTTCGATGTCGGTCATTGAAAGATCCCTCCCCGAAATTAGGCAAAATTACCTAATTTTTACATGTTTTTAATTTACAAAATCGCTTGGGTCACCACGAAGATGGGTTTGAAAGTAAAATTTGACCACGGGAATCTCTTCCTCTATTCAATACGCATCTTTTAAGCACAAAATCATTGCGCTAGCGTTGAAATTGTGCCGTGGAGAGCCAAGAAAGGGAAATAAGTGCCCAATTTCAACAAAACTACTAAAATAAGTTCAGAGAAATCTAAAAAACGCCACCCTGGGCGCAAAAATGGACTTAGGGACCTAAAAATTTGGCAATCGTCCTATCTCGACGAGTACAAAAAAATGCCAAAGCGGCGCGGAAATCGTCAATGGTCACCTTCAGGCCCTGGCCGAACCGGCATGGAATGTCTCCTTTTAGATAATTACAGTGAAACTAAATTTTCTTTCAAAGGCCTTTGGTTAAAGGTAAATTTGATGACTTATCATTGGGACCATATCTATACCAAGCACAGTGACTAGATGTACATATAGAACAAACTCTGCAATGATTCTGAAGGCGTTCCTGATTAGTGGCTGCACCGAAACATTTTTACAAAAAAAGACTCCAACTCCTGGTGGACTTACGCCACTTAGTCAAATGACCAGTGGTATGCCGACTGTCCCAGGTGCATCCCAAATGTATCCAAAATTAATCCACAATGCATCACATCCGCCTCCACTCTCTATCCCACCCCATAGGTTTCACAATCTGCCGGACATTCCAAATAACGTCCAATGCGTATCCGCTCCATGCCAGATGCATCCTGAATGCATCCCAGGCGTCCTGAACGCATCCAGAGGTACCCGGACCGTCCCAGAACCATACTAGATGCATCCCACCCGCTTCCAGCTGTCCGCTCGGCGCCCATAATGCAGCCGGGGTGTTTTGAGCACGTCCAGAAGGTATCCGGACCGTCCCAGGGGCAACCCGAGTGCATCCAGTCCGCCTCCAGCAGTCCTCTCGGCGTCCACACTGCAGCCGGGGCGTCACGAGCGCGTCCAGAAAGTCTCCGAACCATCCCAAAGGATCCCGAGTGCGTCCCACCCGCCTCCGTCCGTCCTCTCGACATCCAGAATGCATCCCAACCACATCCATCGCATCTTGAAAAAATCCAAAATATTTGAATAGCATCCAGATCGCATCCATTGCACGCACATGCGAGGTGTGGTAAGGGTAGGTGCCGGATGTCGTAGTGATGCTTTGCGGATGACCCCTGTGCGCTGGATGAGTTAGACGACTTCCGGAGGAGGATGCGATGGATCTTTCTTGTGGACTGGCGTCTGGAAGTGCTGGGTGTCTTCTTGATGTGTGATGAACGTCTTGAAGTGGTGCTACTTTGCCGGGAGTTGAACCCGGTCCCTTCCGCTTGCTGGTCGACTGCTTAAGCCCCTCGGCCACCGCTTCCTTCTTAGAGGAGATAGAACTTTGAGTACTCTTAAGCTTCATGCAAAAGTGGCATCCACCCAGCATCCTTGTCTCGTCATCACCACGAATCACGAAGCAACCCCAAGCCATCCTCGCATCCATGCCATCTCTGAGCCAGCCGCCTCGTATCTCTGCATCCACGTAAGCAAACTATATCACAACGGCGTCCTAGTATCCAACCGTTTGACACGCATCCCTAGCGCGTCCATGCCGTCCGTCTTCATCGCGAAAGCATCCAGCGCGACTGAATAGCTTCAATAGCATCCGTAGAGTATCCAGACGACCCACCCTCATCCTGAGCGCATCCGTCGGCCTCCAGTCCATCTCAGCAATCCATTTGGCATTACGAGTGCATCCAGGGCGTCCTGTAGGAGTACAGAGCGTATTCAGACCGTCTACATACAACGCACCCAGGATGCGTCTTAAGTACATCCGACGCATCTTTGATGCATCCAAAAGATGTCCAGTGCATCCAAAATGCGTCCAATAGACATCCAGGATACGTCCAAAGTACATCCAACACATCCAGAAGGCGTCCAATTCATTGGCTGAGCGATAGCGAAGCCTGTTACTCCAGTGGGGTTGAAAAATTTTTCCTGTCTGTCTGTCTGTCTGTCTGCGTGTGTGTGTACACTACTCCTCCTGAACGGCTCGGCCGATCTGGCTGAGATTTTGCAGGCTTATTAGGTATGTTCTTGGCTCGGCACACGCGAAATTTCACCATCCTAGCTCAACTGGTTCAGTTTTTATAGCCGAAAAACACCTAAAAAACGGCGAAAAATCGAGTTTTCTGCAGGTAGATCACCTCTGTCTTGAAGAAAGGGGGGTCTGGGGGGCGGAGCCCCCCAGCTTCGTCAAGTAAAAAAGTGACAAGGGTCAAGATCGTGTTATCTGTAGATGAAGCAACTCTATCTTGAATTAAGGGGGGTCTGGGGGGTAAGGTCATATGGAAGATAGGTCTGCGCAACCGAGATGCATGCTGGGAGACCGGGCAGCTAATCCCTCCCGAATCCGTCGCCGGCCGCAGCGGAGGACCGCCTACCTGCCTGCCAGCCTGCCTGCCGGCTTGCCCGGTCTCCCAGCATGCATCTCGGTTGCGCAGACCTATCTTCCATATGACCTTACTGGGGGGCGGAGCCCCCCAGCATGCAACACGTAAGAAGTAACCGACGATGGACAAGCCAATGCCTGCCGAAGGCAGGCTAGCGCCGCAGGCCAAGGTAGGTACGCCAGGCGCGGATTGGAGGAACAGGCCGCGAGACATCGCGAAGCCTGTTACGACAAGACGCGGTCTGGCGTAAACCTACCTTGTATCCAACGCATCCAAGATACGTCCAAAGTACATCTAACACATCCAGAACGCGTCCAAACTACATCCACCACATCCAAATGGCATCCAAACCACATCCACAACATCCAGATGGCATCCGAATCACGTCAGTGACATCCAGATTGCATCCGAAACACGTCCATGGCATTCATTCTGCGTCAACGCATGTTGGGAGACTTTTGGATGGGCTGGATGTGATTTGGACGCGTCGGAGACCTATGTTCCGACCACTCTTTGAAAAGGTCTCAACAAGATCTAGGGTAAGGTGCCCAGTGATGGCCACTTTTAGCGCACTGATGCGCCTTTAACCCCTTTACTAAGTGTCCCGCACGTCGTACCGGTATGAAAATTTCCAGAAACATAAAAGAAGGATAGAGTAAAGGTTCCCAAGGGTAGAAACCAGCAAAATAAAATTTATTCTTTGAGAAAAAATTAACCAAACTATCAGTACAGTTTGCCCAGTAATGGCCACCTTTTGCCCAGTGATAGCCAGGGTCCCGGCCCAGTGATGGCCACACTAGGGTTTGAGCGCTTTGTTTTCGTTTTTGACAGTTATTGAACCCAATTTCAGCTGGTTTGCACCTTGTTCGAAGCTACAGGGGTCACTGTGTCTTAGGGAACGGAAATCAGTGTAATCCTGGGAACCTACCCTGGGAATCTACTTGTGTTTATACCATAAATATAGAATTAAAGTTAAAATTTCAAGTTTGCGATAGAAAAGATTTGGTTTCCGAAATGATTTGATCTCGAGAAGGTGAACATGTAATGTTAAGCATGTTATAGGTACAGACTTCAAATTCAAAGGTTTATCGGTGTCCAAAGTGGAAAAAGGTACAAAATGCATCTTTTTTCCTGTTTCAAGGCCGATAACTTCTGAAAATCAAGCCTGAACCTAAAACATGCTTAACATTTTTTGTTCATCTTGTTGAGGTGAACGCGTTTCTGAAATCGAATTGTTTCCATCGCATATTTAAAATTTTGACTTAAAAACAACACTTATTGTACGTACGGAGTCTAAACAGTTTCCATGGTACCGTGAATTCAGGTCCCCATGAGGCAGGCGGAGTGAGATGCCAGGTCAAAACCAAGATATTTCAGGCAACAAACTAGACGGACATGCACGGCGTCGCGTCAGTCGTTGCAAAGTCTGCTTCGAAACACTAGTGTGGCCATCACTGGCTGTGCACTGTTTTGCCTGCCCAGTACTGGCCACCACCCCTTTTCCCTCAAATGTAACGAAATTTCAAAAAAACTTGCATGTTATGGTTAACTTGCCCTCTTTCGATTCTTCTGACGTGATGTTTCTCTTGCACGGACCTCGTATTCACAAATGACAAGCGACGCCGTTAAAGCCTGCGCTAATCTGGGCCGGTAAGGAAAGCAACGTTCGACCGGCCGAGAACGCAGTGTTCAGCGCGCTGCGCCCGTGCGGCCGTCCCTAACACTAAAAAGCTGAAATTTTTTCGGCGTTGTGTTGCCAATATGTGACAGTACAAAACCTCAAAAGCTCAATTCTTTAACTAATCTCGCCTGGTTGGAAAGTCAGCGCAAAGTGTGAAGTGGCCATCACTGGTACCCTGGCCATCACTGGGCACGTTACCCTATTCAAATCAACAATAAAAATTTTCAGTTGGTCACCCCCCTTTTTTCAAGATAGAGTTTAAAAATCAGTATCTTGAAAAAAGGGGGGTGACCAACTGAAAATTTTTATTGTTGATTTGAATAGATCTTGTTGAGACCTTTTCAAAGAGTGGTCGGAACATGGGTCTCCGACGCGTCCAAATCACATCCAGCCCATCCAAAAGTCTCCCAACATGCGTTGACGCAGAATGAATGCCATGGACGTGTTTCGGATGCAATCTGGATGTCACTGATGTGATTTGGATGCCATCTGGATGTTGCGTATGTGGTCTGGATGTGTTTGATGTCTTGTGGCCGCACCCTGGATGTGTTAGATGTCTTTTGGACGCATCCTGGATACGTTGGATATCCTTTGGACGCATCCTAGATGCGTTGGATGTCCTTTAAACGCATTTTGGATGCATTGGATGTCTTTTGGATGCATCCAAGATGCGTCGGATGTACTGAAGACGCATCCTGGATGTCCTGGATGCTTTCGGAATGCCTTTCGGACACTCCGGCTTCTCTCAGGACGCGTACAGTACGCCCCGTATGCATTCCGGATGACGAGAGGATGGCTGGAGGTGGACGGTATGCATTTCGGATGCCGGGGGACGGTCCGGATGCGCTTTGGACGCGTACAGGATGCCCTGGATGCACTCGGGATGTCAAATGGATTGCTGGGATAGGCTGGAGGCCGACGGATGCGCTCAGGATGAGGGTGGGTCGTCCGGATACCTTACGGATGCTTACGGTACGTTGCAGACGCGCTGGATGTTTTGGGGATGCTTTGCGGAAGAAGGCGGACGCCATGGACGCGCCAGGGATGCGTCAAACGGTTGGATACAAGGACGCTACTGTGATTCAATTTGGCCACGTGGATGCAGAGATACGAGGCGGATGGCTCTGAGATGGCAAGGACGCGAGGATGGGTTGCGGATGGTTCGTGATGAGATACGTGGACACACATGGGACGATTTCGGAACGCAGAGATGCGGTGGATACGTCATGGACACCTTATGTTTTTCTGCCTGGAATGCACAGGATCTAATCTTGATGCGCGTCGGACGTCATTGGATAAGTTGGACGAAACTAGGATGGCCTGCAGGATGCGTGGATAGCTGTAAGATGCATCCAGTAGGTCGTGGATGTACGGGATGGCAATTGGACGAATCCTGGACGTCCTATTCGCATCCAGCATTCCAGCAGGGCAACGGGGGTGGGACACTTTTTCACGTTTTTTTTGTTTTTTTTTGGAACGTCAGAGGCAAGATTCTCAACCCAGACCAATGGATCCTACCTATGTTAAAGTTTGACCCTTTCCCCATGATTTCATGCTTGTCTGGTTCATTTGCCTCGATTATATCGTTTCCCAGCGGTCTCGAAAGAGTGTCCCAAGTTACCCCATGACCGGGGGTAACTTGGGACAGTAGGTAGTTAGCTACATTCCCATGCATCTATTGATGTTAATGGATGTAATAAATTTACCATGTTGTTCAAGAATTCAGGCCAAGGAACTCTTGTAGGACCGATATTGGACTATATCTAAGGGCTCTACGTGGAACTCTCTCTTCTACTGGTATTATCCAAGCATTTTCTGAAAATTTCAAAATATGGATTACCAGAACACAAAAATGCAGAGCAAGGCATCTCTTTCCATCATCAGCGTAATCCGAAGTTTAAGTCATGAGAGGGACGGTCAGTCAACTCCTAGAAGGCTAGGACTGCTGGAAACATGAGGAAAAGACTATCCCAAGTTACCCCGTAAAATTTCGATTTTTCATAAATTGAAATCAGGACCGAAGATGGGAAAACTATAATCAACGCCCTTCTGCTACCTTGATTGTCTGTGTATGATCTAACAACTCAGAGAGACTAATCGGCCAAATCTGCATATCACTCCTTGCACTAGGGTCAACTTGTCAATGATTGACATTTTTTGTCAAAAACCCTATTATGTAGTTTCCCGTTTTACACATACACTCTAATTCCAGGAACGTGACATCACGTTGAAACAAACGTGACAAAATGTCACGTTCGTTCGAGCATTGTGCCACGTTCGTTTGAATGTGAACAAGCTGATTATTGGCCAATTCGCACCCGACCGAATGTGACACAATGCCACAATTTTCAACGTGATGTCACGTTCCTGGAATGAGAGTGTACTACTAATTGTGATGTTATGCATCTCTTCCACCTTTCCGCGCGTGCCCTGAGGCCTCTGAAACAAAACCCTGCTACGGGTTTGACGCTAGGAACCCCCGTCGCTGAATGGCAGCACCAACAAGCTGTACAGGGCAGACTGTCCCAAGTTACCCCTGGTGTCCCAAGTTACCCCCGTTGAAGGTAGATTTTGATGACCAAATGCTATTTGTTGAGTGGATCACGCCCATTTCTACGGTCTGTCTAGCAAAGCAGCGCCGCAGGCCAAGGTAGGTGTCTACGCCAGGCGTGGATTGTCGAAACTGGCGCAGCATCGCGAAGCCTGTTACGACAAGACACGGTCTGGCGTACACCTACCTTGTATTATGTATGCTCAAAATGGTTCGTAAGGTTTCATCCGCGTGTGGAGTGGAAATTGTCTCTCATCAGTGTTCTGTACTTTGCAGTGCTCCAGTACAGCACCAGTTTGCTGTGAAACCAGTGTGTGTGGCACACACATGGTTCAGGGTGCCTTGGGTGTACAGTAACGTATGCCCCTGTGCCTCCATGGCGCCCTTGGTCCAGTACCTCTCCGGTCGGCCATCAGAACAAGTTCATCAACATCACCGTCCATCTGACCCGGCAGCTCAACAGGAACCTCTACATCACCAGCCATACCAGCCATCACAACAAGCTCATCCACAGCACCGTCCAATAAACCAGCCAGCCCGACAGCAACCTCCACAGCACAGTCCATCTGACCAGCCAGCATAACAAGAAGAATCGGAACCGTCCGTAGAACTAAAGAAACCTCCGTAATAGTTGAATCATCCATCCATTCCTCCATCCTTCAGTCACCCCCGCCTCATCATCATTCTTTTTATTTTTTTTATTTTTTTTGACTGACTGTTTAAGTGACACGTGTGAAGGTTTGACTGAATGATTGGGTGACTGAGTGAGTGTGTGAGTGAGAATGAATAGGAATATGAAGAATAAATATTTTGAAGTATACACCCACCAATCTTCCTATTTTTCTCACTGATTCTCACGGTATCAACTTTTCATCGTATTACGCATTAATATCATCGTATTACGAATGTATATCATCGTATAACGCATGAATTTCATCGTATTACGCATGAATTTTATTGTAGTTTAGGAATATGAAGAATAAATATTTTGAAGTATACACCCACGAGTCTTCCTATTTTTCTCACTGATTCTCACGGTATCAACTTTTCATCGTATTACGCATTAATTTCATCGTATTACGAATGTATATCATCGTATTACGCATAAATTTTATTGTAGTTCTATGTTCTCATTTCAACGTATGTTATGGCCCTTTTATTGGCTGAGCGATAGCGAAGCCCTTGCCGTGTTTGGGCGCTCCGAAAAGTGACTGGTCGTGCGTCTGTCTGTCTGTCTCTCTGTATGTAATCACTCACGTTTCTCAGCAACTACTGAACGAATAGTATCCAAATTTCACACCTGAAGTCTCCTAAACATCCTACAGGGGGAGTTTATCTCAGATTAACAATTATCATCGTTTGAAATATTCAAAACATCATTTTGAACTAGGTAATTAGCGTGTTTAGGTTGGTAGCAGCGTGTGGCTGACCAATTTCTCATACCGGCTGCCGCGCTTGCAAGCCGTCTGCAAGACGGGACGGCACTTATGCAAATAAACAAACTTAAGAGCAAAGGGGTTCTCAAATAGGTACTGAGATTGTTTTTTAACATTCTAGAATGATTGAAACCCTTCCGGGGTGTCAACAGAGGAAAATACGGAAAGTAAATGTGAGAATGGTTTACGTGTTTCGTTCCCCTCTTCCCCCTCCCCCGTCACAGGGGAACAGGTCAGTGCACTGAGTGTAGTTGTGGATTGTAAATAGAATGTTTTCTTTGCCTTTGAGTGCATCTACTGATTTTAGTCTCTCTGATACTATCCTAATTTTTAAATTTCATTGTAAATAAAATCAGGTAAATGCATGAATAACTTCTGTTGAAATTAGAGGACATGTTAATTGTCTTGGTTTGTCTCGGGGAAATGACACTCTATTGCAATGCTGCAAGCTAACATGAATATTCTAGTACTTACATCTATTGATGTAAAGAATCCATAAATAGATGTATTTTTTGCAATAAATAATCCATATATTTAGTGCTAACAGATTTTGAACTGATATTGGGTTTAATGAGACGATT